AAAAAATTTTTCCGGATTTATCGGCGGTGAAATTTAAGCTGCAACTTTAAAATCGTTTGCATTTTGAAACTTGTCTCGGCAAAGGTTCTTAACATATACCCATCAGGCGAGCAGTGGAGAGATGTCATTGGATGATCAATTGTTTTGAAAGCCTTATTTGAAGTCAAGCGTTTTTGTTGATGCTTGGAATTATTGTAAGATGATAGGGGAGGGGGAAGGGGTGGAATTTTTTCCTTTCGCTTCCCCTTGAGCGCTGTCATACAGGCTGGCATTTTTGAGGACTAATTTTTCTCTCAACCGCAAGGGTCTGGGAAGCATTGTTTAGACTAAATGTTATTTCCTACAGATGTACAATCATCGTTGCACAACAAGGTCCCACATCTAATGATTCTGAGGGAGATATTCTTACACTTTATAGCAAACGCCTAAAAAAAGCTCTTCCTGTCTACTCTTAATTATTTTCACACAACCGTGTATAAGTAAGGATTGAGAAAACGAGTTTAAATCTTCTTTCACTGCTCATTTCTATTTCAATAAATTCTAATTTAAAAAAAAAAACACCTTATAGAGAGGTTAAGAATGACGTTTTCAGGCAAACAGCAAATTTGAACTTCGGGTTGTTGATTGGTTTTCATATTTTGCTTGTATCGCTTGCTTTTTTTACTGGCATTGATAGAAAAATTTTCATACATGTAGAAAATGACTGGAAAAATCAGATTTCATTTTTTACCTTTTGCCATAGAAACCAATATTGGCTGACTCCAATTTTGCTACACTCTGATCTGATAGCTTGACTGTGTCAATGAAGTTGACATATTGCTTAACAGCGCGTTATATGCAAATAAGGTTTTAGCATATTTACCTTAGAAGCGAACGCCTACTCTCCTGGTCAAATTTTTTTGCGAGAACAAAAACTTGTTGGTATTGTTCGTTACATGGTTTCGATATGTTTTCATTATAAACCGTTTTGTCGTTGTGACCTGAAACCTTTTTCGACGGTTGTAGCGATCTCATCGAATCATCTTTTATCACTGTATATAAATAAAGAAAGCTGAGTGATTATTTTCCTTATGACAAGAAGTAATTTTTTTTAAAACCAACGTGTTTGTCATCGTTCAAACGAAAACCGTTTGCATGCAGCGAGAGTTTTCTCAAAGCATAATGTGTTCGAATCGCAAATTTAAAGACGTCACTTATAATTATTGCAAAGTAAGAGTGTCATCATTTGTAAATGCTTCAGTAATAATGTAAAGGCCACTTTACACGGTTTCAACATTTGACCAACATTCGTTCAACAAAAGTTGAACGGATGTTGGGCACATGGTGGAAGCAAACCTGACAAAGTTGTGCGGGGGCCGTTCAAACGGTTTTCAACATTGCACCAAAAAAAGAACCAACATTTTCGGAAAGTTTAATTGTGAGGAACTAAGAAGTAGAAACCAGACTCTCTCCTCTAGATGAACCAGCCGCCATCTTGACTTTTGCACCCTGATGATGAGCATGCGTGTGTTCAATTGTTTCATGACAGAGTATTCAAACGGCTTCAGCACCATTCAACATTTTCGAGAACAAAAGAAAAGTTTAATCGATGTTCAATGAAAGTTTAAACCGATTTAAACTTGATTCAACACGCTTTCAAAAACTTTCAACATTTTTTTCGATTTCAACAATGTTGGACGATCTGTTTAAACGCACCGACCATTTGTTTCGACAAAGCGTTGAATGCATGTTGAAGCAAAATGTTGAAACCATTTAAACGGGCCTTAACACCTAGCATGTTTTTTCTCATTAAGTCGCCTCTACATTCTTCTTTTTAGACACTTTCTTGCAGTGTCGATGGATTTCCGCTAACCTGCTCCCTCTCGAAAGTTGGAAAGGCCGTGCAAAGGTCTTTCTCCTACATGATGTCCCTCTTTACAGCCTTTTAAAAGGCATTTCTTTCAAATGAAAAAGAGACACGACATCGCAATTTTATGCTGAATATCTGTGTACTTTCGTTTACGTTGGTGGGGAATTCGTGTTTGACTTTCTTTCTATGTTCAAAAGTAAACAATGGGAACGATTTCTTAAATGAGTCTCAGAAGAATTTAGGCCTGTTACATGAATCTAAAAAACCTTGACCTCTTTGAACGCTAGAATTGCAAATTTGTTTCAACCCTCCCACGTTTTATTAGTCATTTTATTTTAGTTTCGTTTTCAATTTTTCACTATTTATTTTCTATTTCTTTTACCGCAACAGCAAAATGGTCCAGCCTGTCAAGGACCTCAATCCTCTACTTTCGGGAGTGACCACAAAAGTGACTTCTTCCAATTATATCAACACCTTTCAACAGATCCTGTCTTCCACATTTTCAATCACAAATGTGATGAGAAGAAAGAAAAGAGCAACTAGGATAACTAAGGTATACTGCTTGCTTCTACGCCAAATTCTCAACCTCGTTCCCAGGGCCTTTTCCCTTAGCTGGGGGTGGGTGGGGGGTGTGGAAAAGGCCCTGGGAACGAGGTTGGCCAAATTCTCATAACTGCTATAATAGGAAATGTTTGATAGGCAACAAAGAGAATTAGAATGGAGATCTTACAAGTAAATAAATGATCATCCAATCCGGATAAGTCAAGTCTGGATGGGTAGGTGTGCAAGAAAAAGTAAAGGGAGGAACATTGTTGTAAAACGGGATCAAGGATGGCCATCTTTACGATAAAACAGTTGACGAAATTACTCTTGGCCTACAGACACCTAGGTTTCCAACTAGCGACGCACTGTGACCGAATTCAGTGAAGTAGAAATAAAACGTTTTCCCGATTCACGGAGGTGAAATTTTAATGAACTCGTTCATTTTGAAACTTGTCTTAGCAAAGGCTATTGTTAACATATGCCCACCAGGTGAGCAATGGAGAGCTATTTTTGGATGATCAACCGTTTTGGAAGGCTAATTTGACGACAGAAGTTTTTCGTTGATGCTTGGCCCAAGTATAAAATGATGGGGAGATGGGGGTAGGGGTCAAATTTTTCCCTCTCACTTCCCCTTGAGCGCTACCAAACAGGCTGGCATTCTAATTTTTCTCTCAACTGCAAGGGTCTGGGAAGAATTGTTAACACTGAGTGTTTATTTCCTACTAATGCAGATTCATCGTTGAAATGCAAGGTCCGCGCTTCTAATGAATCTTGGATATGTATTTTTACACTATATAGCAAACGGCTAAAACTTAACTTCTTCCTGTCTGCCCTTAATGGTCTTCATGACGTTGTTAAACTATTTGCATTAACTTCAAAATAAATGAGTGAAGTAAGTAATAAGATAGCGAGCTTTCCAAATCTTATTTCACTACACATTTCTATTCGAATAAATGCTATTTTTTAAGAAAGCTTTTCAATAGGGTAACTCCTTCAGTTTTTGTACAAGATAAAAAAAAACTGCTATCCATGGAGGCCCTACACATATGATGAAAAAAATTAATAGGAATAATAGTGATGATTAGCTATAAAATGCTATATATTAACTATAAAATGTTATATAAAGGACTCAAACATAAAATTACGAGCAAAATCATGAAAATATTAAAATTAAATCTGATTAAAAATTACACAGCCATTATAAAAATGGCCTTTTTTATACATTCTATCTTAATAGACCGGAGGAGTTTAAGTTTACCACTGCTCCTTGTTGTTCTGGGCAATACATCTTTATTATGATTGGAGTAGTACATAAACAACTGTGGACAAAAGTTGCCTAAGCATTTCTTAACTAGATTGCGTACGTGGTTCTCGCGCCTTTTCTACCGAGTTACGTGACCTAAGAAATTTAGCGCTTTTTCGCTGCTCCCCAGACGCATAACAATACGAGCAGCGCGCCTCTGAATTTACTCCAACTTATCAGCGTTAATCCTCCTGCAGCAGCTCCACACAGTATCGCAGTAATCAAGAATAGAGAGAATAAACGACTTATAAACGGTACCTACCGTGTACATGTTTACGTTTTTCCTAATTCGGCCAAACATTGCTAATCTCTTTCTACCCTTACCGATCAAGAATTCAGCGTGTGCATTCCACGTAAGCGACGCATCGAGAACAACTCCCAGATATTTATAATCTGAAGCGCCACTAAGTGCTTTTCCATCAATAACTACAGAGAAAGAAGTAGAAAGTGCCAGCCTAGAGCCAGTGCCAGAAAACCGTGAGGATACACTCCGTTTTGCCCTTATGCATGAACAACTTATTGTCTAGCTATGAGCCATTTATTTACCAATGCCAATTCGTTTGTCAAGGTGTCCTCTATCACCAAAATAGTTACATTATAACCGTGTCGTCAGCAGACATCAAATTCTGGCATTTAGTTCAAACCTTTGGGAGATCATCTATAAATAAAATAGACAATAAGGGACCGAAAACTGATCCTTGGGGATCCCCAGACGTAATTGGGCATAGTCAGAGGTCTCCCAACTTGCTTGCGATCAGATAAATAGCTTTTGAACCAATTCAGTTCAGTGTTCTTAGCTTCATGACTCTAGCTTGTTTATCAATAGATCGTGATCGACAGAATCAAATGCTTTACTCGAGTCAATAAACACAGTGCCAGTGAGTAAACCTTGATCCAGTCCACGTCGAACGAAATCGTAGAGGGTAACGGCATCAAGTTGGGTAGAGTGATTTGATCTAAATCCACACTACTTTTAACTGTGAAACCGGTTTTGAATGCCTTTTCTTACAAGGATTGATAGAAAGATTATCATTCATGAAGAAAATGACTAGAAAAACCAGATTTAATTTTCTGGCTTTTGCCGTAGAAACGAATGGTAAAATTGACTTACTCGAATTCTGCTACACTCTGATCTAATAGCTTCACTGTGTGTCAATAAGTTGACATATTGGTTAACTGCGCGTGATATGCAAATAAGGTTTTATTTCATTTAACTACAAAGGGGACGCCTACTATTCTAGCCAAAAATTTTCGCGAGAACAGAAGCTTGTAGGTATTGTTCGTTTCATGGTTTCGATATGTGTTCATTATCAACCGTTTTGTTGTTGTGTCCCGAAAACTTTGTCGAGGGTTGTAGTTATCAGATCAAATCGTCTTTTATCAGGATGTTATTGTGAGGATTAGGCATGTCATTTATTCTTTTTTCCTCAGTTACGTCTTTGAACCTGCACTCGCTAAATGCTGGTCGGAATACCCTCCCCTACACTTTTGATATTCATCATTAACTCCTACCCAGGCTTACATCCGAGGATCTTGGTCTGTGCCCAGTTCTTAATATTGTTCCCTTACTAAATATCTAAAGGTTTTTAATTCGCACCTAAAAAAATCGCCATTTTAAAATAGCTTTTTCTAAATACTCATTGGAAATATGGGGTTTTCCGTAACTTTTCTCGTTATTTTATCTATGGGTCTGTGCCCAGATATTGGGTTATTATGTTAGGTATCGTTTAAATAGTACTAGACCAAAGTTGGCAAAGACAAACATTATTTACGACTCCTAAATGAGTACTGATTACTGGCGTAAGAAATAACTTAAAAATTACCATCAGTAACTAATAAAAGTAAAAATGCTAAAATTTACCTTAAAACGAAAAACTAACATGCACAATACAAAACTACCTACCGACTTACAGATTTCTCTTCAGAATGACTGTAAGGAAGTTTTTCTTTCTAATTTCTTTGACTTCGCTACCAAACTAAGCCCGGGGAACTATCGAGAATTTTGTTCATGTCAAGTAATTATAACTAAATTTAGCTGCAAATCATCTCTCCTCTGTGGTAAAGGTAAGCCGATTCATCATGTTATAGAATAGTGCAAGAAGACATGAGATCGAGATATCTTCGCGAGCGGGTAGTGTCAAGGCCTTTAAAGCATCACGGCAATGTAAGCCAGCCTATGTTCACTTAGAAAGTCATACAGCTCACCCACTGTTCTCAATCCGTTTCGCTTGATGATGATATGCAGTAAATTTTTTTCTATTCGTACCATAAAAATATCTTTTAGACTCAAATTCAGCCACTTTAGAAAAGGACGATCTCTTGGGAGATAACCTGAAACAAAGAACTCAAGCATTTCCATTAACTGTGCCTCACAAAATATGAGTTGTCCCATAATTTAACGTCCCTAGATTATCAAGTTATACGAGTGATCTACTTTATGAGCTACTAACAGATATATACCAAGGACCATTGTAATGAAGAAAAGAAGAACATATCTGTAGTTTTGTTACATTTTCTGATATGGGTCTAACTGATGTACTTTTCATATGGAGTGGAGTATAGGTGTTAAAGTAGAGACGCAATTCCAGACTCGGTGGTGATAATAGAGGTTGTTCTCTCAATATTTCGTATGGACATAGGAACACCAAGCTTTGTCAGCTATTCATGGGATATGTAGTGTTTCTTTGTGTTCCCGAAACGCCTCGTGGCTATTGTTTTCTTGGTAACAGACACAAAGAAACGATACAAAGTATAAGACTGAAAACATGTTACTGTGGAAAAAAGTCCATTGTATGATACGGGCTGACTCCAAAGGTTTGCCGGCTCAATAGGAGTGATTACAGAGGAAATTTATTTCTTAAATTGACCGGTTATTATTGAATGGCAAGTGGAATTTCGCAGCTGGAAGCACCCACATCTTAATAACTGACCTGGATTAACTTAATACAACTGATTTGGATTCGTAAAAAGCTGTAATTACCGGCCCCTGTAGGCTAATGTATTTACTTGTTGGCGTTCTTATGGGACGACTGTTCCATAAAACGTTACTTACGCTGAATAAAACTCGATAGGATCTCTTTCTTTATTTCCGGCATTTCATCGATAAGCAAGTCATCAGGTAACAAAGGACCTGAAAAAAGATGACGATTGAATCGTCTCAGGAATAAACAAATGACTTTGGCTCGATGGCTTCACATACAAACGTGGAATTGTAAAAAGGCTCCACCACACGACTCAAATGATTCGAAACTATACTTTATGGAATTTATGAGCAACCCCCCCCCCCCTCCATTACTGTTGTTGGTTTTTTGATCACGTGTATTGCCTCTCGCTCACGCTCAGTTTTTCGCTGCGTCGATAAGAACTTTAACTTTGTTGGTTTTCGCGGCTAACTCTCTCTTTAAGGCTGTTATGGAGCGAAACGGAATATATTCATTACACCATGGTGCGGTTGTTTCCAGATCATTAACCTCAGCAATTCGACCCGGCAGGTATTTCTTTCTTAGGTAGTTGGATCAATAGCCCAGTTTTCGTGCGGCCTTCTTTTTTTGGAACAATTTCGATTGTCACACGCTCCACGACTGGTTCAAAACAGAGGCTGTTTGTTGCCTAGAAAACAGTGGAATAGATGATGACTGTAATGGCCTTGTCAGAGGAATAATTTCTCTTTTTTATAAATGTTTCCCTTGCCGAGTATATCGTTAAGTATTTCTATTTTGGCTTTCCACGGGTTTGTTCATAATACCTTTATTGCCTTCCTATACCATTGTTATGTTTTAATTAAATATATCACGTATGAGTATCAACTCATACGTTCAAATTTAAATTCAAATACTAATAGGAGCATTATGTTGTAACTGAACATGAAATGAGTGATATCGCAAGTTTTGCAAACTTAAAAATTTTGTTTGTTTTATGTACATTATTTTCTATTTGAATTTCACGGATTGAAGAGAGTTTCGCGAATAAAAACCTGACCATTTTGTTTCACAAGGCATCTTAATGCTCATTGCTCAAAAATCAATAGATAAGTATTAAGAAAAACTTAAGAAAATCACGGTAAAACAACAAACCTGTTGTCCCTCCTGGTGTGATCTGCCTTAAGTGATCGAACACGTCCATTCTTTTTAAAATTTTAGCTTTCCTTGCGAAGCCACGGATCAATGTTTTCTCCTTAGAGGTGGGTTTTGTGAAACAATATTCACCTAACTGTAGCGAGATTTTCAGTTGTGTTATGATAGCTTCAGGTCTATTTGACGATGACAAAATATGTTCTACAAAAACATCAAAAAGAGTACAAATCTCGTTTTACTACTGAAGAATGACAAAATACAACATTCTTATCAAGCCCTGATAGAAGTATAGTTGATATACAATTATTCGAATATTTCAGATGTTTTGAAATCAGAAGTCTTATGACAATGAGACGCCGACTCATTCTTAGGGCTTAAATATACTGATTTAGAGTAACACGTCTATCCGCTGGCTAAATTTAAATCGGAAGGCTCAGCTGGAGATGTAACGCAAAAATGAGAAAAGTTGACTGATAATTTTTCTTTTACATTTTAAAATATGAATATGATTATTTATGCAGCGAAAGTTTTCTTGAAGCATAGTATGTTCGGATCGCAAATTCTAAGACCTCTGATAGTTTCGCCGACATAGTGACATCATTTGTAAATGCTTTAGCATTGATGTAGCCCTTGGCATGCTTATCGCAACCAGGTCGCCACTAAATTCTGTATAATGAGCAAATAAAGAATCGAGGCCTTGACTGTGCTCTGTTCTGTTGTAAAGCACGCAGAAAGTGGCTAGAGCTCGAAAGAAGTGTAGAGTCAGCGGGTCCAATGCCACTCTTTTGCTTGTAGTTAATTAGTCTTGATAAAGAATCTGAAAGTAGAATTGCTCAAAGATTTCCGGCCGAATTGTGGCTCATAAAAACACGCAAGCTTTTTCTTGTGACAATTAGAGAACGAACTGCTGTTTTCTGAATAAAGGACAGCCGAATTCACAAAAACATGACGATTACTCGGGCAGACAGAGCCTTAAAACTCGGCTGATGTGACTGATGTAGCCCTCCACTAAACGCATCAGAGAGGATATTAGAGCTTTTAGTTGTTTACACGAAAGGCGGACGATGTAATTTCTGAGGCTTGCTTCAATGCGACGACCGGAGATCCCCATGATGATTTCAATCGCTCTGACACAATCATGACTTCTATGAATTTTAACAGTTATGCTTTTTTGGTTGTATTTTTATCTTTACTGCATGTTTTGTTCTGTTTTATTTTTGAACATGAAACTATATATACTATACGATTGTGAGCTGTGTTTGAGTTTTAATGTCGTACATAAGCTTACAATCTAACTGAGCGTAAAAACTTTCAAACTCTCGAAAACTTGGACGATCCATTTAATTTCGCTTTCTTTGTGACGAATTTCGTCTGTGCTTACGTTAGTATAACATAAATTACGGTGCTTGGGAAAAATTCGGATATTGTACAACTGAGATGGCGTGACAGCTTTAGCTCAGCTCCGTGTATTGTACTCTGATAAAACACGCTCTCTCAACCAGTGACAGTGCGCTTTATATCCGAACTCAGTAAATTTAATAATATCCGAAATAGTACAGGTCTTAGCCACTATGACCCATTAAACATCCAACACATTTAGTTTTATGGGACTGACCTGCATGCATCCACATTCTTTCACCCTCTTTCAAGGCCTTTAAAGTGAATCTGATGCTATCCATTTTTTTCTTCACGTTGAAAGCTTTATAATCAAAGACAATCGAGGATGCAACAACACTTAGTCTCAATCAAATTAATATCAAACAGAGGAGAACATTACAAGGAAATGCTATTTTTGAAAACGAAACATCACAGAAAGATGACCTACCAAACTCTTAGTTTTCTCGTAAATAATGTTAAAGCCAGAAATTTGATATTCATCAGCCCAAACACGTTAAAAATAAATGGGGCTTAAGTTTCGATTGCACGCGAAAATCAAACAGCAGGCGAAGCACAACCTGGAAGGGTCCTGAATTTTCATTTTGTTTAACCGGAGAAAATTTTGTCATCAGCTGTAGCACCAGCTTGTCAAAAGCAAGTGTTTCAACTTAATAAATTGATTTAACGTAAAATTCTTCTACAATACTAATCGTTTGATTTTCTAACCTTCATATGGGTATGCCTCTCTGAATACCTCATGAAGGCTGTTCCATTTGTCCATGACATCTTTGAACGAGACTTCGAATAGGTCGAGCTGTTCAAGTCTGTCACCTGAGGATAAGCAAAAGATCTGTTTTTTTTTTGTTTTTTTTTTAACAGTATGAGAAAGATAGTATTTTTTTTAGCTACAAAAAGATGTTTCTATTCTAAACGAGACCAAGAGTTGTAGATCTTTGGCTCTCACAAAAAGCATCTGCAAGAACCACGTCAAGCTAAAGAAAACAGAGTCATCGTGAAGCCATCGTTTGTACGCCAAAAGGCAGGGGGAGCTTGCTGAAATGGCAGACGTTTACTTCATTTCACGTTGTTTATGAAATTGGTTGTTTGGGAGGAACTCAGAAGCCTTGTCTTCCCTCACACGAGGTGTAGCGTTAGGAGGAGAAAAATGAGATCACAGATTACGATAAGGCAACGCGTTCCTTATGATGTGAGGTTGTCTTCTCTGAACGTGTTTGAGTGAGTGTTGAAGGATGTACTTTGATGCGCAGGTTACATCTTTTCATGGCAGTCTTCACACCCAACAACAATCAAAATAAAATGGCTGCCAGCAATGGAACGATTGTATCGTTTCCCCATATAACCAACAGAAATCTCGACACAAAAGCAAGGTAAATATCTCACATCAGTTTATATGGTTATCTTAAGTTGTCTTGGGTAACCGAGGGGGGAGGAGAATTCAATGGTAAAATCTCGTCAAGAGCGAAGGTAGAACTCCCAACAACTCTTATTGATCTATTAAGAATCATAATTCAGTGGAGACTAACTGTCACCTTCGCCTTTGTCGAATCCATATTCAGAAGGCGCATTACTCCAGGTCCCTACTCCACTATCCCTTTGCCGCGCGATTTCGCTGTACGTCTCCTGAATATTTTCCAAATATTCTTCTACAAGAACTTTTCTGCGAAATGGTAAAAACCCTTTCTCTGGAGAAGGATCTCTTGTATCATCTGTGGTCATTTTTCGTTCTTTTAAAAGGTCTGAGTCAGAATTTGCTCGTTCTATTAATCCTCTCTTTTCTTGAAGTTCCGTTTCTAAATCTATGGAAAAAGACAGTGTATTGGTAAATCAAGCGGTGCGTTCTGGTATCAATTTCAAAACAGCATTGAGACATTAAGCAAGAGAATTGGTCCTCAAGTTACTTGGATAATCTTCATGCTCTTGGAAGTAAATATTATCCTGGAGGGTGAGCTAACCCACAAAGGAAGTGAAACCCAAGGTATTTACGAAATTAAATTTAGCGCACAACTCAAACTTGCAATTCAAATGACTTTTAATTAGAAACGTTAACTGTTATATCGATCCATTTCAAGTCAACACCGCTTATTACACAGGACTGTTTACGCAGAGCACTTTCTCATATCTTTCAGATGATCATCTCGAGAAGCCGTCGCTACGTGAAGATAAAGAACAACCTATTGCACATTTCGATACATTACGAACATCAACCTTTCCCCAGCTTGATCCGTCTATCGACCAAACATACAAGTAAAATGATATTGCGATAAACGGGTATTCTTTAAACCCGCGTGACAGACTAAGGCGAAATTAAAAAGAGCAAATATTTCAAGTCTACAATTTGATATCTGCGCATATTTCTTTCTGCAAACCCAAAAATTTGGACTGAAAATAATCTCTATTAACAGTAATGAATGACGTTTGTGCACAAAGAATGCTTATTAAATAATTTAGAAGTATTGAGATCGATTTCCCCCGAATAGGAACAAAAGAATTCTAGCTGATGTAGATATAATCAATCCGGCCGTGCACTGTGATGATAACATTTACTGCATAATTTCTTGAAGAAGAGACGAATACGTGAAAAGAAAACACAAATTCTCTGAAAATTCACAAGGTAACTTTCTCAACCCCACCTGGCTCGAGAATTTACCCATCCCTTGTCAACATTTGCATTTTCAGTCGCATACGAGGAAAAATCGGTATTAAATGGATCGTAACCCCACAGTCTTGATTTAATATATCACATCTTCTAGAGGCAATGAATTGTCTCATCATTGCAGACAACAAGAGTTGTTATTCATTCGTCTTGAACAAGGAGCCATACATAATGGCGGGACTATTAAAAGTTTAATTACCTTCTGTTTCAGATATCATCAAATCGAACATGGCATTTCTGTATTCATCCTCGTCGATGCGGACAGTCAACGTTACCTCACCACCTGCCAGCTGCTTTATTTCCTCAGTCACAAGAAACTCTTGTAAATCTGTCGGTAGTGTTTCGTCTTGATAACTTTGCCACAATGCATCAAGAGCGGAAATGCTTTCTGATTGAATTATAAATCGGGTCGATCCCTCACTAATTGCACGTAAAAAATTTCCAAATGGAAGAACAGCTTCTTTGAAAGCATCGACAAATGCTTCCATACTGGGACTCCTGCGAAGGACCATCCATGTAGTAACAACCACAGCACCACCAGTAAGATTGCGGAAAGTACAATGAGGTGTTACAACTGTAAAAAGTATGGAAATCATAGCTTTTACTCTAGCCCGTTCCAGTCTGTCTGATTGTGGAGTCAACCGGAAAAGCAGGGCTAGACAAAGAAACAAACGTTGGCTG